GCGGGTGCATCCTTGATGGGTCCATGGGGATTGCTCCTGCTTAATGACCAGCCGTGTGTGGGAATCTCTGAGAGCCGCGAGCTTTTGTTGCCATTCCATTCCATTCCATTCCATCCCATTCCATCCCATCCCATTCCATTCCATTCCATTCTGAAACACGGAGTCCAGATCCTCTCTCTGCCATCATCCTGGGCCCTGGAGCGCAGCCACGCTCCAAGGCTGCCGAGCCCACACCGCCTTTTAGTACAGCATTTTTAATATAATATAGATATTTTAATATTATATTATATATTATATTTTAATATAATATCATAATAAAACCAGCCGTCTGAAACACGGAGTCCAGATCCTCTCCCTGCCCTCCTCCTGGGGCCCTGGAGCGCAGCCATGCTCCAAGGCTGCCGAGCCCACACCACCTTTTAGTACAGCATTTATAATATAATATAGATATTTTAATATATTATATATTATATTTTAATACAATATAATAAAATATCATAATAACCCCAGCCTTCTGAAACACGGAGTCCAGATCCTCTCCCTGCCCTCCTCCTGGGGCCCTGGAGCGCAGCCATGCTCCAAGGCTGCCGAGCCCACACCACCTTTTAGTACAGCATTTATAATATAATATAGATATTTTAATATATTATATATTATATTTTAATACAATATAATAAAATATCATAATAACCCCAGCCTTCTGAAACACGGAGTCCAGATCCTCTCCCTGCCCTCCTCCTGGGGCCCTGGAGCGCAGCCCGCTGCGAGGCTGCCGAGCCCACGGAGCCCTCGGAGCCTTTCCCCCCGGCCGCCCCCGGGCCGTGGCACGGTGTTTGTGCCAGGCTGCGGGGCATGACTGCGCATTCGGGCTGCTCCTGATGGTGCCACCACCTGCTCAGCCTCAATGTCACCTGAGCCAGCCCTCAGCTCACCTCACCTGCTGCTGCTTATTGACAAAGCTGCTGGTGGAAGTACTAAATTAATATAATGGAATAATATATAATGTAATGTAATATAATACAACATAACATAACATAATAATTAATCTAATATAAAATAATATCATAAAATAAATATAATAAATATAACATAATAATATAATATAATATAATATAATATAATATAATATAATATAATATAATATAATATAATATAATATAATATAATATAATATAATATAATATAATATAATATAATATAATATAATATAATATAATATAATATAATATAATATAATATAATATAATATAATATAATATAATATAATATAATATAATATACCTGGTTTGTGTCAGCCCTGCTGCCACTGCCGGCCTCTGCAGCTGCTGGGAGAATTCCCTGCTGCTCCCCAGGGCCCTGCTGGGCATTTCCCGACTGCTGGCCCCTCTCACGGGGCTGCTGGAGCTCTCGGTGGGGCACAGCTGGCACTGCCCATGGCTGAGCCCCCGAGCCCAGAGTGTCCATGCCCTGAAGCCTGGCTTTGGCTCTTGGCTGTTCCCTTCTCCTCCAGGCTGGTTTCACTTGGAAATCCCTGCTGGCTCCTCCAGCCCCGGCCCTCTGTGACCCCACTGTGCCCCAGGAGCCCCAAAGGAGCCCCGAACCAGGCAGAGCTGGCCCTGCCCCGCTCCCCACACCGAGGGGACGTGGTGAGGGGTGGGATGGGCAGCTCTGGGGAGGTGAGGAGGGGACAATCCATGCCAGAACTTCTCCCACCCGAGGAGGATCAGCAGGAAGGACACTGTGACCCCCGGCCTGAGCACTCCGGGCTGCAGGTGAGGAGCTGCGGGGCAGGGCAGGTCACAGCCCGGCTGAGCTCAGCCGCACAGACGGATCCTGCAGCCCTCAGAGCGCCCGGACAAACGTGCTCAGACAGATGGAGCTGCAGGAGGATGTTTGCCAGATCCACAGAGCCGGTTTGGCACCTAAACCTTCCACCCCGACACTGAGCGAGCTGCGAGGCAGCGCATGACATCATCACACCCCGGCCCCATCCATCAAACGCGGATAAAAATAGGAACGAGCCGAGAGGGGCCTCCCGGCAGCCGCAGGGGAAGGGAGGCAGGGAGCTTCCCCCGGCCCCGGCACCTCCCGGCCCCGCGGAGCCAGCTCGGGGCCGGGCTGGGGGCTCCTGGTGTTCCCACGTCCCACCGTGCTGGGCTGTTTGGGGCAGGGCTGGGGGCTCCTGCTCCTCCCACAGTGGTGGTCCCACAGGGGCAGGGCTGGGGGCTCCTGCTCCTCCTGGAGGGATGGTCCCAGCCCTGCTGAGCCAGCTCGGGGCCGGGCTGGGGGCTCCTGGTGCTCCCCGAGCGATGGTCCCACTGTGCCAGGCTGTTCCCATAACCCAGGGCCTGCAGAGGAGCCAGAAGGGATAAAACAAAGTGACCTGAGAGGGGCTCGAGAGTGCCCACGGGCTCTGCCAGTTCGCAGCCGGGGCTGCACCCTCCCAGGGGTGACAGGGGGGACAGAGGTGACAGGGGGACAGGGTGACAGGGGTGACAGGAGCCCCGGCTCCACCCTCCCAGGGGTGACAGAGGTTACAGGGGGACAGAGATGACAGGGGGACCAAGATGAGAGGGGGATAGGGGGACAGGGTGACAGGAGTGACAGGGGTGACAGGAGCCCCGGCTCCACCCTCCGAGGGGTGACAGGGGTGACAGGGGAACAGAGATGACAGGGGGACAGAGGGACAGGGGTGACAGGGGTGACAGTGGTACAGGGGTGACAGGGGTGGCAGGGGGACAGGGTGACAGGGGGACAGGAGCCCCAGCTCCACCTCTGAGGGGTGACAGGGGTGACAGTGGTACAGGGGTGACAGGGGGACAGGGGGACAGGGGGACCAAGATGACAGGGGAACAGGGTGGCAGGGGTGACAGGGGTACAGGGGTGACAGGGGGACAGGAGCCCCAGCTCCACCTCTGAGGGGTGACAGGGGTGACAGTGGTACAGGGGTGACAGGGGGACAGGGAGACAGGGCTAGCAGGGTGCCAGAGGTGACAGGAGCCCTGGCTCCACCCTCCGAGGGGTGACAGGGGGACAGGGTGACAGAGGTGACAGGGTGACAGGAGCCCCAGCTCCACCTCCAAGCGGTGACAGGGGTGAGAGGGTGACAGGGATGACAGAAGTGACAGGGGGACAGGGTGACAGAGGTGACAGAGGTGACAGGAGCTCTGGGTCCACCCTCCAAGCCCCGCCTGCCCTGGGGCCGTGCAGACAGAACTCGGCCCCAGCAGCAAATCCCAAATCCTGCCCGGCTGGCCTCCCACGCGCCCCAGTCCTGGATGGAAACCAAACCCTGCAGCTTTAGCCCCAAATCTCACTGCTGAGATCCCCAGCTCCTCAGCCAGGAGCTCGGGCCTGCTCCTGTGCTCAGGGCAGGAAGGAGCTGGGTGGGAAAAATGTGTATTTTATTGACTGGCTTTTTGCAAATATTAAAATTAATATTATATGTGTTATGTTAGAAAGTTATGTTGCATTAATTTTCTTAAGTAGTGTGTTAAATATGGTTTTAGGTTATAACATAATGTTACAATAGAAACTATGCTATGTAAGATACTTTTTTTAAAGAAAGGACTCACACAGAGATAGCAGCCATAGGACAGCTAAATCTATCAGAGAAAAAGAATTTATTATCAGAAGAAACTAACTTCTTGCTGCCTCGCTCAGCCCTGAAAACACCGTCAGGATTCAGAGGAAGAAGTTGACACTGACCAGGCACAATCCTTTGTTTGCATGGAAATTATGCATCGTGTATGAGGTGTATGAATGTGCAACAGGCTGTTGCTTTTAAGGGTTAATGTGTGTCCTTTTTTCTGCTTATTTTGCCCAGAAAGAGGTACCCGACCATCTGTAACTCTTTGTTTTTATTGTCTCATATTGTCCTAAATCCTAATTGTCCGAATTTTTATTACTCTAATTATATTACTGTTTTTATAACCATTTTATTGCCATTAAACTTTTAAAATTCTAAAAACAAGTGACTGGCGTTTTTCACCCTGGGGACAGGACTGGGGTTGGTGGCAGCAGAGCCAGCTGAGCTCTCCGCCCAGCAGCATTCCCTGCTGGAGCCCTGATGGCAGAGCTGGACCTTCCCAGGCTCCCTGACTGTGAACTGGTGAGACTGGGCAGGGGACAGCCTGAGAGGGGCTGGCAGAGGGAAGGGACAGAGTCTGGCACAAAAGGTGCCTGCAGCTGCCCACAGCTGGGGATTCCCAATGGAAATGGCCTCGGAGGGGCTGCTGGAGGAAATGCAGCCGGCTGCTGGGCACGAGAACCACGGGAAAGCCCCCTGAGCCCACCGAGCCAAGCTGCTCCCCAGCACTGCCCGGGCCACCCTGCCCACGTCCCCGAGTGCCACATCCACTCGGCTCTTAAATCCCTCCAGGAATGGAGACTGCCCCCCTTCCCCGGGCAGCTGTGCCAGGCCTGCACAGCCCTTTCCAAGAAGGAATTTTCCTAATGTTCCACCTAACCCTCCCCTGGCACGGCCTGAGGCCGTTCCCCTCCTCCTGTCCCTGTTCCCAGGGAGCAGAGCCCGACCCCCCTGGCTGTCCCCTCCTGGCAGGGACTTCTGGGGGTGAGAAGGTCTCTCCCTGCTCCAAACCTCCTCTTCTGCCTTTCCCAGCTCCCTCAGCCTCCCCGGGTGCTCCAGGCCCTCCCCAGTTCCATTCCTGCCTCTGGACGTGCTCCAGCCCTTCAATGTCCTTCTTTTCACGAGGCAGAGGCACAAACCCGGCCCAGGGCTGGCGGTGCCTCAGCAGGGCCAGCGCTGGGGTTACTGCCCTGGGGCTGCTGCTGCCCACCCGGGCACACCCGGGCACACCTGGGCACCCCTGGGCACACCTGGGCACACCTGGGCGCCCTGGCAGGGCTGTTGTGGCGTGCCCAGCTCCAGGCAGAGCCCAGGGCTCTGGGTGTGGAGCCCTGTGGGTCCCATGGCCTCGGGGCAGCCGCCAGGGGCAGGGCTCCAGCCCAGGCTGCTGTAAGAGACTTTCTGGAGTTTCCTTCATTTGTCCCGTCACAAGGACCCCGAAGACCCCCGAGAGGAGCTGTGGCCTGGCTGAGGTGTGTGTTTTTGGATGTTTTGCTGAGCGATTGTTCGCAGGTGTGAGGAGCTGTGGCCTGGCTGAGGTGTGTGCTTTCACAGAACACCGCTTCAAACAGGTTCTGACAGGCCATGGGTGTTTTTGGATGTTTTGCTGAGCGATTGTTCGCAGGTGTGCTCGCTGTGCTTTCACAGAACGCCGCTTCAAACAGGTTCTGACAGGCCGTGCCTTGTCCTTGCACACCTGCACCTGCCTCACAGACCGAGGGGTCTCAACACAATGGCCACGAATCTTCCCCGCCTTTTGTGTCGCCCTGGTTTTTTAGGATTTTCTAAGCCTTCTGATGTTTGCGTCCTTGTGACAAACTTCCTCGCACGCCTTCTGTAAATAACTTGTTGTTTTGCATTCTTTCATTGGAGAGGAGAAATCTGATGGGCTGTTGGTTTGTCCAGTGTCATTGCAGAGGTGGCACTGTCACCCTCCAATCCACTGTCACTTCTGGAAATCTACAAATGTTGGAGTCAGAAAATAAAGTTCCCTTTTTTTACCTTGAGAGCAGCAGCGTGTCCGCGTCGTGTTATTTCGTGTCTTGTAGTGACACTTTTGGCCAGATGCCACCCGCTTTGGACTGAGACTCTATAAACTGTAACTTTGGAAACAACTCTGGTGAACCCCCACGGAGGATGGCGAATCTCTGTGGCGGACCATGAGGATGCTGTCGCATTGGCAGTTATGTTCCCCCTCCCCTCTTTTCCTTTCGATCCTTTTGTCACGGTTTGACGCTGGTGCAATGCCAGTGCCCCCATGAAAATACATTCTCCCTAGTGGCTGCTGTGAGATGTGGCCAGAAATAGAGCAAAGCAGGCTCCAACTTAGGAATAAAGGGAAAAAAAAAACAAAAAAACCAAAAAAACAAAAAAAAAAAAACAACAACAAAAAACCCCAACTTTATTAACTACAATGTGTAAAAAGGAACAGTCACAGAACGTGGAATGAAAACATTTGAAACCATTCCTCCCCCTTCCCCCAGTTTCCACCAAAACACAAAATAAGACCTTAGATTTTCAATCCAGTCACCACCCCTCAGATAATCAACTCCAAGTCCATCACCACCCCTCAGGTAATGAACTTTCAGTTCATCAAGGGGAGAGGAGTCCTTCTTGCACCACAGACAACGCAGTTGAAACCTGTATTTCCTTTTCCTGATCCCTCTATCGCATTTGCTGCTGGCCCTCAATAAAGGTGCATTTGTTGTGGTTAAACTGACAGACCCCTGCTGTTGGTCTTTCACACTTTTGGGGTCTGGAAATGAACCATCACGACCTGGCTTGCCCTAGCGGGTGGTGACAGCTGCCTGTGCTGCCCGGGCCCTGCTCCCCCTCAGAATTCCCAGCCGGAGCCCTGGGAGCAGCCAGGGGCAGGCACAGGCTGCAGGAGGTCACACTCAGCACCAGAGTGTGGAGGCCACCAGGATGGAGCCAAATCTCCTGGTTTTGGTGATTTGGGACAAGCAGAGGGGGAAGGGCAGTGTGACTCCTGCCTGGAAAGGAACAGCAGGGCAGGTACTGCTCTGTATCCTCCAGCAAAAAAAAATAAATCCATGGATGGGACACTGAGTGCTGGCGAAGATGAAACAGGAGCACCTTATAAATATGATAGTCTGGCAAAAGAGTTTGAGAATATGGAAACTATAAGTGAGATTGAAATGAAAGCAAGCTTTCAGGTACCTTAGTTACTGAACAACTGGAAAACAATGGCATGGCTGCTGAAGGTAATCCCCTTTCGATGGAACAATCCCCTCTGCCTGCAGACAGGTCCAGGGGTCAGAGCAGACCCTGCTGCCTTGGCAGAAGGGGTCCAAAGAGTCGTTTTTAGGGTTTAAAATGTAACACAGTATGGCAATGTGATGATTCCTATAGGCTGTGTGTAAATGCTGTAAGATTTGTATCTTGTACTAGATTGGTTAGTGAGAATTAGAATTTTCAGCGCAGAAGAAGATTTATTGTATTGTAACAGGAACCATTGGTTCATTCTCTCTTTGCCACGCTCTTGCATTCATTCTCTTTACTCTTCCTCACTCTCTCATTCTCTCTCTCTGAACCACTCTCTTTACCTCTCTCTTTGCGGCTGGCAGCTCCAAGTGGGGCCCCGGCACCCTCGCGCTCTCCAATAAACCACAAATCCCGAGACCTGCCTTCAGAGATCTCTCCTCTCCCTCTGTCGGACCGTCCTGCCCCTGCCGCTCCCACAGCTGAGGATGAGGAGGTGACGCTGTCTGGGCAGGGGGTGGGCAGTGGGAGCACAGGAGATGGTCACTGCTGTGGGAACACCCGGCCAAAGAGGCTGAACAGGGTCAGAGAGAGAGACCAAGAGACCAAGCTCGGACAAGGAGCCCCAGGGCCCAGCCTGCTCGGTGGGATTCATGTGCCCCCAAGGACCTCAGGGACTCCCGTGGGAGCTGCTGGGCCGGGCCAGGGAGCTCCAGCCAGGGATGTGTCCCCTCTGTGGGTGACAACGCGTGGGACATCCCCGGAGAACCTCTGAAGAACAAAGCCTTCCCTCCAGGGGTGACAGGGGTGGGAGAGGAGAGGAGAGATCTCCGAAGGCAGGGCTGGAGCTTGAGGTTCACGGCAAAGGGCCCTGGGTGCAGGGAGCTGCCAGCCACAGCCCAGAGCACGCCCCAGAGGGAGAGACGTAAAGAGAGTGGGAAAGAGAAAGAGGCAAGAGCGCGGTAAAGAGGAGGAGAGAGAGCACGAAAGAGTAAAAGAGAGCATGAAAGAATAAAAGAGAGAGAGCACGAAAGAGTAAAAGAGAGAGAGCATGAAAGAATAAGAGAGAGAGCACAAAAAAGAGAAAGAGCATGAAAGATAAAAGAGAGAGCACAAAAGAGTAAAAGAGAGCACAAAAGAGTAAAGGAGAGAGCATGAAAAATAGAGAGAGAGCATGAGAGTAAGAGAGAGCACAAAAGAAAAGAAAGAGAACATGAAAGAGTAAAAGAGAGAACATGAAAGAGTAAAAGAGAGAGAACACAAAAGAGTAAAAGAGAGAGAGCATGAAAGAATAAGAGAGAGAGCACAAAAAAGAGAGAGAGCATGAAAGATAAAAGAGAGAGCACAAAAGAGTAAAAGAGAGCACAAAAGAGTAAAGGAGAGAGCATGAAAAATAGAGAGAGAGCATGAGAGTAAGAGAGAGCACAAAAGAAAAGAAAGAGAACATGAAAGAGTAAAAGAGAGAACATGAAAGAGTAAAAGAGAGAGAACACAAAAGAGTAAAAGAGAGAGAGCAAAAAAGAGAAAAAGAGAAAGAGCATGAAAGAATAAAAGAGATAGCACAAAAAATAAGAGCATGAAAGATAAAGAGAGAGCACGAAAGAGTAAAAGAGAGAACAAAGTTCCCATACCATGCCATACCATAAATCTTCTTCTGCGCTGAATATTCTAATTCTCACTAGCCAATCTAGTACAAGATACAAATCCTACAGCATTTACACACAGCCTATAGGAATCATCACATTGCCATACTGTGTTACATTTTAAACCCTAAAAACGACTCTTTGGACCCCTTCTGCCAAGGCAGCAGGGTCTGCTCTGACCCTTGGACCTGTCTGCAGGCAGAGGGGATTGTTCCATCGAAAGGGGATTACCTTCAGCAGCCGTGCCATTGTTTCCCAGTTGTTCAGTAAGTAAGGTACCTCAAAGCTTGCTTTCATTTCAATCTCACTTATAGCTCCCATATTCACAAAATCTTTTGCCAGGCAATCCTATTTATAAGGCTTTCCTTATAAATATGAGGAAATTTTCATCTTCCCCAGCACTCCACCAAGCTGGAGGCAGCTGCCCAGCTCAGACCTGAGCCCAGGTGTGTCCCTGCACCCCACTTCCCCCGGTGGATCCCGAGAGGAGCAGCACAAGGGAGGGCTTGAGCAGGGGCCAGGCTGTGCTCCGTCAGCTGCAGCTCCTGGCAATCCACAGCACGGAGCCTCTGGAGCCAGAGGCTGCATCTGCCTCTCTGGTTAATAGCCCTCAATCAATTTCTCTCCCAGAAATTTGCCTAATGGCTTTTTAAAATCCCTTTAAAATCAACCCGGGCCCCGCTGCAAACGCCCTGTGGCAGCGAATTCCGCCGCGTATCGCACCGAGCGCTCCCTCCAGGGAACAGCCAAAGATTTCCCTCCTCCAGCTGCCTCCCGTGTGCACACCTGGAAGGAGCAGGGGACAGGTGTGCTCTGCTGAGCGCTCCCCAGGGACCGAGGAGGGAGCTGGGCAGGGGAGGAGAGGCGTGGGGCGCCGAGGAGCCCCTCCCGTGCCCCAGCCCTGCACGGCCCCAGCCCAGGTGCTCTCCCAGCTGAGGAACTGGTTTCGCCTGTCCGCGCCTCTGCCACCCCTCCCTGTGCCACCAGAGCCAGCTCTGGAGCCCAACCACCCAGAAACTTCAGCGGCACCAGCAAACTCTGCCCAGCCGTGGTTCACCCCTCTCGGGGGGTGCTGGAGGTGATGAAAGGCAGGTCCGCGAGTCAGCCACGGCCAGGAGGGGATGGTCACAGGGAGCACAGGCTGGGAGGGGGCCACGGGGGTGTCACTGGGAGCTGGGGGGGTCATGGGGGTGTCACAGGGAGCTGGGGGGGTCACAGGGGTGTCACAGGGAAGAGAGAACATGAAAGAGTAAAAGAGAGCATGAAAGAGTAAAAGAGAGAGAACATGAAAGAGTAAAAGAGAGCATGAAAGAGTAAAAGAGAGAGAACATGAAAGAGTAAAAGAGAGCATGAAAGAGTAAAAGAGAGAGAACATGAAAGAGTAAAAGAGAGAAAACATGAAAGAGTAAAAGAGAGAGAACATGAAAGAGTAAAAGAGAGAAAACATGAAAGAGTAAAAGAGAGAGAACATGAAAGAGTAAAAGAGAGCATGAAAGAGTAAAAGAGAGAGAACATGAAAGAGTAAAAGAGAGCATGAAAGAGTAAAAGAGAGAGAACATGAAAGAGTAAAAGAGAGCATGAAAGAGTAAAAGAGAGAGAACATGAAAGAGTAAAAGAGAGAAAACATGAAAGAGTAAAAGAGAGAGAACATGAAAGAGTAAAAGAGAGAAAACATGAAAGAGTAAAAGAGAGAGAACATGAAAGAGTAAAAGAGAGCATGAAAGAGTAAAAGAGAGAGAACATGAAAGAGTAAAAGAGAGCATGAAAGAGTAAAAGAGAGAGAACATGAAAGAGTAAAAGAGAGCATGAAAGAGTAAAAGAGAGAGAACATGAAAGAGTAAAAGAGAGAAAACATGAAAGAGTAAAAGAGAGAGAACATGAAAGAGTAAAAGAGAGAAAACATGAAAGAGTAAAAGAGAGAGAACATGAAAGAGTAAAAGAGAGCATGAAAGAGTAAAAGAGAGAGAACATGAAAGAGTAAAAGAGAGCATGAAAGAGTAAAAGAGAGAGAACATGAAAGAGTAAAAGAGAGCATGAAAGAGTAAAAGAGAGAGAACATGAAAGAGTAAAAGAGAGAAAACATGAAAGAGTAAAAGAGAGAGAACATGAAAGAGTAAAAGAGAGAAAACATGAAAGAGTAAAAGAGAGAGAACATGAAAGAGTAAAAGAGAGCATGAAAGAGTAAAAGAGAGAGAACATGAAAGAGTAAAAGAGAGCATGAAAGAGTAAAAGAGAGAGAACATGAAAGAGTAAAAGAGAGCATGAAAGAGTAAAAGAGAGAGAACATGAAAGAGTAAAAGAGAGAAAACATGAAAGAGTAAAAGAGAGAGAACATGAAAGAGTAAAAGAGAGAAAACATGAAAGAGTAAAAGAGAGAGAACATGAAAGAGTAAAAGAGAGCATGAAAGAGTAAAAGAGAGAGAACATGAAAGAGTAAAAGAGAGCATGAAAGAGTAAAAGAGAGAGAACATGAAAGAGTAAAAGAGAGCATGAAAGAGTAAAAGAGAGAGAACATGAAAGAGTAAAAGAGAGAAAACATGAAAGAGTAAAAGAGAGAGAACATGAAAGAGTAAAAGAGAGAAAACATGAAAGAGTAAAAGAGAGAGAACATGAAAGAGTAAAAGAGAGCATGAAAGAGTAAAAGAGAGAGAACATGAAAGAGTAAAAGAGAGCATGAAAGAGTAAAAGAGAGAGAACATGAAAGAGTAAAAGAGAGCATGAAAGAGTAAAAGAGAGAGAACATGAAAGAGTAAAAGAGAGAAAACATGAAAGAGTAAAAGAGAGAGAACATGAAAGAGTAAAAGAGAGAAAACATGAAAGAGTAAAAGAGAGAGAACATGAAAGAGTAAAAGAGAGCATGAAAGAGTAAAAGAGAGAGAACATGAAAGAGTAAAAGAGAGCATGAAAGAATAAAAGAGAGAGAGCATGAAAGAGTAAAAGAGAGAACATGAAAGAGTAAAAGAGAGCATGAAAGAGTAAAAGAGAGCATGAAAGAGTAAAAGAGAGAGTACAAAAGAGTAAAAGAGAGCAAAAAAGAGAAAAAGAGAAAGAGCATGAAAGAATAAAAGATAGCACAAAAAATAAAAGAGAGAGAGCATGAAAGATACAGAGAGAGCATGAAAGAGTAAAAGAGAGAGAGCACGAAAGAGTAAAAGAGAGAACAAAGTTCCCATACCATGCCATACCATAAATCTTCTTCTGCGCTGAATATTCTAATTCTCACTAACCAATCTAGTACGAGATACAAATCTTACAGCATTTACACACAGCCTATAGGAATCATCACATTGCCATACTGTGTTACATTTTAAACCCTAAAAACGACTCTTTGGACCCCTTCTGCCAAGGCAGCAGGGTCTGCTCTGACCCTTGGACCTGTCTGCAGGCAGAGGGGATTGTTCCATCGAAAGGGGATTACCTTCAGCAGCCGTGCCATTGTTTCCCAGTTGTTCAGTAACTAAGGTACCTCAAAGCTTGCTTTCATTTCAATCTCACTTATAGTTTCCATATTCACAAAATCTTTTGCCAGGCAATCCTATTTATAAGGCTTTCCTTATAAATATGAGGAAATTTTCATCTTCCCCAGCACTCCACCAAGCTGGAGGCAGCTGCCCAGCTCAGACCTGAGCCCAGGTGTGTCCCTGCACCCCATTTCCCCCGGTGGATCCCGAGAGGAGCAGCACAAGGGAGGGCTTGAGCAGGGGCCAGGCTGTGCTCCGTCAGCTGCAGCTCCTGGCAATCCACAGCACGGAGCCTCTGGAGCCAGAGGCTGCATCTGCCTCTCTGGTTAATAGCCCTCAATCAATTTCTCTCCCACAAATTTGCCTAATGGCTTTTTAAAATCCCTTTAAAATCAACCCAGGCCCCGCTGCAAACGCCCTGTGGCAGCGAATTCCGCCGCGTATCGCACCGAGCGCTCCCCCCAGGGAACAGCCAAAGATTTCCCTGCTCCAGCTGCCTCCCGTGTGCACACCTGGAAGGAGCAGGGGACAGGTGTGCTCTGCTGAGCGCTCCCCAGGGACCGAGGAGGGAGCTGGGCAGGGGAGGAGAGGCGTGGGGCGCCGAGGAGCCCCTCCCGTGCCCCAGCCCTGCACGGCCCCAGCCCAGGTGCTCTCCCAGCTGAGGAACTGGTTTCGCCTGTCCGCGCCTCTGCCACCCCTCCCTGTGCCACCAGAGCCAGCTCTGGAGCCCAACCACCCAGAAACTTCAGCGGCACCAGCAAACTCTGCCCAGCCGTGGTTCACCCCTCTCGGGGGGTGCTGGAGGTGATGAAAGGCAGTTCCGCGAGTCAGCCACGGCCAGGAGGGGATGGTCACAGGGAGCACAGGCTGGGAGGGGGTCACAGAGGTGTCACAGGGAGCTGGGGGGGTCACAGGGGTGTCACAGGGAGCTGGGGGCAGCCCAGGCTGGGAGGGAGTCATGGGGGTGTCACTGGGAGCTGGGGGGGTCACAGGGGTGTCACAGGGAGCTGGGGGCAGCCCAGGCTGGGAGGGAGTCATGGGGGTGTCACTGGGAGCTGGGGGGGTCACAGGGGTGTCACAGGGAGCTGGGGGCAGCCCAGGCTGGGAGGGGACCACGGGGGTGTCACAGGGGCTGTGGGATGGGGAAGGCGCCTGGGTGTGGCGCGCGGTTTGTGTTTTCGGTGGCAACATTTCTATCCCTTGTCCTTGAACTTATTCCCAGACTCCGCTGAGATAAGAGCCAGGGGCTGGCTTCCCTTCCAGCCCTGGCTGGCGCGCACGCGGCAAGGTCACCCACCGTGGTGGCACCTGGCACCGAGCTGAAACGGGGGCTGTGGCCTGGGGGGGCACAGGGGGCCTTGGCCAGGGCCAGCTCGGGGTCACAGTGACAGCAGGGACTCACCCAGGTGGGCTCAGACACGGGGCTGCAGCTGGGGGCACCCGTCACCCTGGTGCCACAGTCAGAGCAGCCCAGGTGGTGGCCCAGAGGGACCTGGAGGTGGCTCAGTGGGACCTGGAGGTGACCCAGTAGGACCTGGTGGAGGCCCAATGGGACCTGGAGGTGGACCAATGGGACCTGGTGGTGGCCCAGCGGGATCTGGAGGTGGCCCAGCAGGACCTAAATGTGGTCCAGCAGGACCTGGTGGTGGCTCAGTGGGACCTGGAGGTGGCCCAATGGGACCTGATGGTGGCCCAGTGGGACCTGGAGGTGGCCCAGCAGACCTGGAGGTGGCCCAGCGGGATCTGGTGGTGGCCCAGCAGGACCTGGAGGTGGCCCAATGGGACCTGATGGTGGCCCAGCTGGACTTGGAGGTGGCCCAGCAGGACCTGATGCTGGCCCAATGGGACCTGATGGTGGCCCAGCTGGACTTGGAGGTGGCCCAGCAGGACCTGATGCTGGCCCAATGGGACCTGATGGTGGCCCAGCTGGACTTGGAGGTGGCCCAGCAGGACCTGAAGGTGGCCCAATAGGACCTGGAGGTGGCCCAGCAGGACCTGGTGCTGGCCCAGCAGGACCTAAATGTGGTCCAGCAGGACTTGGAGGTGGCACAATGGGACCTGGTGGTGGACCAATGGGACCTGGTAGTGGCCCAGTGGGAGCTGGAGGTGGCCCAGTGGGACCTGGAGATGGCCTAGTGGGACCTGGTGGTGGCCCAGCAGGACCTGGAGGTGGCCCAGCAGGACCTGGAGGTGGCCCAGCCCAGGAAACACCTCCTGCTCCCTCCTGCTGTGCCCGAGATGCTGTGTGCCATACCTGGAGCGCACTTCCTGTGCCACCTCGCCCTGCGGTCCCCTCGGTTAACCACGGAGGGTGGCCCAGCAGGACCTGGAGGTGGCACAATGGGACCTGGTGGTGGACCAATGGGACCTGGTAGTGGCCCAGTGGGACCTGGAGATGGCCCAGTGGGACCTGGGGGTGGCCCAGCAGACCTGGAGGTGGCCCAGCGGGATCTGGTGGTGGCCCAGCAGGACCTGGAGGTGGCCCAGTGGGACCTGGTGGTGGCCCAGCTGGACTTGGAGGTGGCCCAGCAGGACCTGAAGGTGGCCCAATAGGACCTGGAGGTGGCCCAGCAGGACCTGGTGCTGGCCCAGCAGGACCTAAATGTGGTCCAGCAGGACTTGGAGGTGGCACAATGGGACCTGGTGGTGGACCAATGGGACCTGGTAGTGGCCCAGTGGGACCTGGAGATGGCCCAGTGGGACCTGGAGATGGCCTAGTGGGACCTGGTGGTGGCCCAGCAGGCGGCCGCACGTCCGGAGCGGGGCGGGACGAGACCGGGCCGGCCCCGCGCGGCACCGGCAGAGCGCGGTGGGGCTCGGGGGGGTGCGGAGCCGCGCGGCTCGGCTCGGCTCTGTTTCGCTCCCTTCGCCTCGGTTCTGTTCGGTTCGCTTCGGTTCGGCGCGCATCAGCTCGGCTCGGAGCGGATCGGATCGGATCGAAGCGGATCGGATCGGACTAGAGCTCGGCAGAGCCCGGTACACCTGGAGGTGGCCCAGCAGGACCTGGAGGTGGCCCAGCCCAGGAAACACCTCCTGCTCCCTCCTGCTGTGCCCGAGATGCTGTGTGCCATACCTGGAGCGCACTTCCTGTGCCACCTCGCCCTGCGGTCCCCTCGGTTAACCACGGAGCAGCCGCAGCCCGGAGGGGGAGGACGAGCCCAGAGCCCGCCCGGCGCCAGTACAGCACGGAAGAAGGGTGGGACGAGGAATGGTCGGGCTAAAAGTAACTGGAGACGGCCAGAAAAATAAAATAAAAAAAAAAAAAAAAAAAAAAAGCATCTAACGAGCCAGACTTCTCAGTGGAATGAAAACATCTGCTAGGCGCCGGGTGGGGGCTGGTCCGCACCTCTCGGGGTGCCCAGGGCCCGGCCAGGAGGTCCCCCCCCGGCACTGGAGCAGGGGCTACCGGGGAGGATGCCGCGGTGGCCCTGGCACGTCCAGGGCACGCTGGGACCCCCGAGATGGGGCTGGAGGGGGCAGCGCCGGGGGAAGGCTGGGCAAGGCAGCCCCAGGGGCACGGGACGGGCCCGGGAAGGGGCTGCGAGGGGTGGGACGAGCCCCGGGGCCCCGGGAGGGGGCAACGGGCGGCTGCTGGGGGGGAGGACACGGACACGGACACGGAGGGACCCGGGGCGGAGCGAGCCCGGCGGCGCATCCCGGTGCGGGGTGCGGGATCCGCCGGGGGTGCGGGATCCGCCGGGGGTGCGGGATCCGCCGGGGGTGCGGGGGGTGCCGGGGCCCCTCCCGGCGGGGCGGGGCGTGCGCGGCCGCACGTCCTGAGCGCTCCC